AAATACGATGAATTAGAATTATGTCGAGACATAATAATAATTTAAGAAGTGCACAGACAAGAAAGTAGAGAGACTTTCGAGGAAATACCTGGCTTTAAAATTATGTATGAACTGTTTGCTAACACTTAATATTAAACGTTTTAGTTGTTCACAATTAAATAACAATAGCTTGCATTCTGAATGCAATAGCTTTCTTTTCGAGTAAAATGCTTGCAGAATATTATAATTTATATGATGATTAGATACCCAATTTTATGTATTATATTAGTCGATTGCTTTATTTTAGGATTATTTTTTAAGACTAAATATTTTCCTTGTCTAACATTTTTATATTAATAGCATAAATGTGCAGAACGAATATGTTATTCTATTTTTCTTTTGTTTATTATTTGTTTTTATAGCTGTGTAAAGAAGAATTTTAATTGTAAATAAAAAAAACTAATTTATAATAGAGCAATTGTGGAAAATAGAAAATGATTATTAATAATACTTATTACTTATATGAGTTAAACATTTGATCTTTATAATTCATTATTAGGCATATTAAGCTTTATATTTTAATTATTATCGATTTTTTCTATTTACTAAAATTCCTCTATTCCAAATTAGTTTTTTTTTAACAGTTAGAATTTTTTTATACAGCTTTATAAACAAAAGATATACAAAAGAAAAACACAATATATATATATATATATATATTATTAATAATATATTATTTATTGCTTATATAGGCAATAAATAATATATATAATAATATATACATATAATACTTATTTTTTGCACCGGTGTAGGCTATTCGACAGGGAAGCGTTATTTTTATTTTAATTCGCCGAAATTTTATTATGTACATAATTTTAATTTGCCGAATTATCGTAATGTACATAATTTTAATTCACCGAATTTCTATTATGTACAAAATTTTAATTTTCTTATTTCTATTATGTACACAATTTTTATTCGTGAATTTCTATTATGTTTATAATTTTAATTTGTCGAGTTTCTATTATGTACATAATTTTTATTTCCGAATTTTTATTACGTACATAATTTTAATTTCCGAATTTTTATTACGTACATAATTTTAATTTCCAAATTCCTATTATGTACATAATTTTAATTAATTGAATTTCTAATTTCTATTAAGTACATAATTTTAATTCACCGTATTTCTTTTATCTAAATAATTTTTATTTGCCCAATTTCTATTATGTATATAATTGTAATTTGTCGTATTTCTTTTATGTAAATAATTTTAATTCGCTGAATTTCTATATGTACATAATTTTATTCTTGAATTTTCATTGTGTACCTAATTTTAATTCTTGAATTTTTATTATGTTTTAAATTTTTATTCGCCGAATTTTTACTATGTACAGTACATATGCATTCTTGAATTTCTATTATGCGTTATAATTTAATAATTTGTTTGGCGCGCGCGAAGCGCGCGCTTGTGTTATCTAGTAAATATTTATAATATAAATATATGTATATATATATATATATATATATATATATATATATAAGGGAGAGAAATATAGCTTTTGTGAGGTGTTTTGCTCCTTTTACGACAATTCTATTCGTCGAGCCTTTTCTTACTTTTCTCACCCTTTGCCTACTGTCTTCATGGACAGCCCCTTTATTTTGTCGTTCTCTTGCCCCGCCACTACGCAGTCGCGAAGTTAGACGAAACTCGTTATCGGATAGAACGGGCGATTACCGCCTCGTCTCGAGTTGGTGCTCGACTTTTAACGCGATTATACGTCGCTGAAACGCTAAATTGCACGACGCAACGAGAGTTAACGCCCGCGAAAACTATAAGTTCGAGCGATGCGCCTCGGGGAAGAATGACGAAAAATATCCGATGAAACGACGTACGAATCGCACAAAGAATATCCCGCTGTTTAGCATATTACGATCATGATATTACAAAGAATTTGTCCAATAACTAAAAATTACAACATTTATGACGACGCGTGAAAAACTATGTTATATGAAAGTTGTTTATAATTTAAAACTTTTCAATACATTTCACATATCTCAAAGACCATAAACAGCCACAAGTATTTCTTAAGTAATTCGACAAATAAAGTAAAAAAACTGACAACAAATAAAGAATGTAGTGAGGCTAATAATATAAAGCAAACATCCCGAAAAATCTCTCGTGTTTCATAAAATTGTTCTCGCGCGGCCCTGCGTATATTTTATACACGGTTCCGTGCCGCAAATAGACCGAAGAAAAGCTAAAAGCAGAAACGAGAGAGGTAAACGCGGAAGCCCGATAGATCGAGCCAATCGTTCACCTGCTCAACCAATCGCACACCTGTATTCGCCCTCCGCGAAGCTAAACCAATCGGGCCGTACGTATCGTTGTTTGGCCAGTTTACGAGCTCCACGATATCGATTACCGATCGCCTCGGTGGCTATCGCTTCCTCCTAATACTGAAAAATGGACCAAAGCCTTTGCGCGAGAGATCACCTGCGAAAGAGAGCGCTGAGAGCTGCTATTGCCGTGGAATTCTTTCAACGCGTTCGACGCCCGATGGAGGACCTCGCGAAGAATGCTTAAAGTTTCCGCCCGCTTCCGGTTCACCGGCTTTCGCTGATGGCTGCAATTAGACCTCTGGCTATCCCTTTATAGCACATACGCGCACACACGGTTCGAAAAGATCGACCCTCGTCTAGAAAAGAGAAAGAAAAGAGAGACTATGAACAAGACTATTCTCTCTAATTGAAAGCTTAAATTTTAGGGAACTTAATGAATTAAAATAAAACGAAATAAATATCTGCTCGTTCGACTTATTTTTTTATACGAAAAACTTTTATATTAATATATTATATTCTAATTAATATAACGGACAAATTTTCATATTAAATATATTCTGTATTAATTAATCATTGTTAAAGTTTTAATTGCTTCGTATTAAAGGTTCTCGAAAAATTCATTCTATGATATATAACAGGCGAAAATAATTATTTTTAATTATAACACTTTACTGAAAGAAGGCTATAACTGTAATAAATTAAATTATATTAAATTTACTTTTCAAAAAAAGGAATTATTAATACTATTCTTATTTTTATAATCTCTGTTTAAATAATAATTATATATTATATTATCTATTTCTCGCTGATTCTCAATCTAGACTTCTTACTAAGCTTAAATAAAAAGATGTATGCTCGTTTTGTTATATATTTATTTAATATAAATTTATTACTAAATAGAAATATAAATTATAAAAATTTCATAAAAGTTTATATAGAGTTGCTAATGCAAATACATTTAATTTACGAAGTCTTTGTAGTTTTGTCTACAAATTTGCTCTTTATTATATTGCACTTCTTCCAACGAATTGTTATAACGAATATCCTATTCCAATGTAGTAAAACGTTTGCAAGAAACATATTGTCTTATTAGAGATAGAACAGAGACCAGTTACAAAGTGTCTTTACTATGCCTCGCGTTAACTATTTCACGGGAAACAATTCCACTTGAGATCCGCGCGCATAACAAAGGTATACAGTCTGTTTACATTCGAAATATCGTGACAAATCTTTGTAAAACGATTCTTGGATCGCTTATTATTTTGTAAAAGAGGCAGAAATGCAAAGGCAAAGGATGAAAAAATACTTACAGAGAGATAGTCGTGGGTGAAACGTAATTGCAAACCGAAGTAAAACCGCTTCTCTCACACGAACGAATTTGCATACGATGCGTGCGATTTCGGGATGCAAATTCTAATAGTGATCATCCTGCATTGAAGACATAAGGCCCGCGTGAAACGCATCCAATATTACAATAACAACGCTATTCACGAATTTCACCTAGGCGCAAATGTTATTTCGATAGATAATGCATCTTCAAGCATGCATATATATATATATATATATGTATATATACATATACATATCTTATACAGGGTGTCCAGTAACTAACGGACCAATGATTAAGAACGGATTCTCTGGCCAATTTGTAGACAATTTTTTCTTAGCAAAAATGTTGAGAAGTCAATAATTTTCGAGTTATAAGCGATTAAAAATAATGGGTTTTTTGAAAACTAAACGTTTTGGAGTTAAAAGTCTAACATAATTATATTCTTCAGTTAATTTTAGGTAGAGTTTACTATAATAAAATTTTAATTTGAGGCTTAGTTATAAATATACATAATGAAAAATATTGGAAAGTTATAAAAAATGATGACCTTTTTCGACATTTTTGCTGAGAAAAAATCGTTCCCAAATTGACCAAAGAATCCATTTGTAATCGTTGGTCCGTTAGTTACCAGACACCCTGTATATGCGCGCGACCGTTTCCGACATGTAATGAGGCCGGCATCGCATGCGTTACAGGAATCGAGGTGCCTTCAAACTTCAGTGTCGAGTGTCGATATTCGAATGATACGCCCGTTGAATATTCATGCGAATTTAGCGGATGTACGCCCTTATTCCTATCACTCGTCGCGCGAATAAGTCAACACATTCGAACGTTGTGGGATATTACATCCGGATACAATATGCGTGCACGAATATTAGATTGCTCGATATATATGCGTACACGCCACGAGCTTCCTGAAATAATAAAAATATGAAACTTTGAACTCCTCCTAAGAAATGCGCACGTAATCTTTTCAAATCCGAAATCGGGGTGCAATAACAATCGATAAGTTATCAATAATCTATGCACACTCCAAGAATTATTATTTGTAGGGTAAATCACTACAGAGACATATATGTGCATTCATGAATATAATACGTTTATTTAACGCAACAATTTCGTCAATATTTATTGAATATTTTACGTTTTTTAATGTATAAAAACAATAAATTTATATCTTGCATATTTATCGCAGCAGACTATACTTGCGTATTATTTAATTGACCAATCAAGATGAAGAAGTCTTTCCTCTGATTGGTGAATTGAACGATCCGAAGTGCGCTCAAAAAATAGTAATTTGACTAACTCAGTAGTAACGTTTTCGCGCGGTAAATTCAAACTTGTAAACAAATTATTCCGGCATTTTGCCAATTAATTTTGTCGTTGATGAGTAAATACGATAAAGGTATACAATAAAAGATAAATGATAAATACAAAAAAATTCTGTCGGTATGTTCATATTATATAATCGTGTTATATAATTATAGTTTCTTTGTATCTTTAGAAGCAACACCGTGTGACTCGTAGATTGTAGATACGTAGACAGGTTATATTGACGTCTTGTGACTGTACGCTTTGCAAAGCGTATCTCTCAGTAAAATGGAGATAGAATTAATTGAATTGAAAGATATAAAGGCCGTACCGGACATAATACATGTTTATCCAGAACGAGTGAAGACCGAATATACGCCACTCGTTATTGACAATGGTAATTTGTATTGCATGCAGTATATTCTACTTCTGTTATACCTGAAAAAGACTGAAAACTGTTTTTTTTTTTGTTCTTTTGCATTAGGATCCTATAACTGCAGAGTCGGTTGGGCTACTGAAAAGGAACCGCAATTAATATTCAAGAATCTCATCGCAAAACCGCGAAAGGAACGTGGTAAGAAAGATGGGGAGCCTCAGGTTGGAAACGACATAGCGAACATTGAAGCAGTTCGATTTCAATTGAAGACTCAGTTTGACAGAAATGTAGTGACGCATTTCGAAGCTCAAGAACAGATATTTGATTATACATTTACACACATGGGTATAGATACGGAGGGCACTGTAGATCATCCAATTATTTTGACGGAGGCATTTCTCAATCCCAATTACTCTCGTAACTGTAAGAAAAAATGATTTATATATTACATAGTTTTATAATAAGCACAATAATTTATAAATATAATTGTATTTATTTATTGTTTTTCAGTAATGGCAGAATTGTTATTTGAATGTTACAATGTACCATCGATAGCATATGGTATCGATTGCTTATTTTCATATCAACACAACAACTGCCCACCAGACGGACTAATAGTTAGCATAGGATATCACACAACTCATATAATACCAATACTAGATGGAAAAGCAGATGCCACAAATGCAAGAAGAATTAATGTTGGTGGATATCACATAACATCATATATGCATAGACTTCTTCAATTAAAATATCCAGTACATGTCAATGCAATAACACCTAGTCGTGCAGAGGTATATATTATTATATTAAATATATTTACGTTATATATTTATATATAATTATTTTTTTATATATTTTAAATATATTTACTACAATAAACAGTCCTAACAGTAATATTTACTAAAGCAATAGCAGTTACTAAATATTTATTTCACAATTTCCAGGAGATAATACACGAACATTCGATGATTGCTTTAAATTATCAAAACGAATTATCCAAATGGGCAGATGTGGACTACTATGATACACATGTTTTAAGAGTACAATTGCCATATATCGCACCTAGTACAACTCCTGGCCTTACACTTGAGCAGCAAAAAGAAAGAAAACGGGAATTAGCACGAAGACTAATGGAAATTAATGCTAGAAAGAGAGAAGAAAGGGTTGGCACATTTTATTTTATTATACATCATATATATTGTACCAATATTATATATATATAATACTTATCTTTCACATTTTATACTTACAGTTAGCAGAAGATGAAGAGCAACTTAATCAACTGTTGGCAGTCCAAGATCTTTTAGAAGAAGGTGAAATCGATGAATTTGATCAAGCATTAAAAACCTATTCTCTTGCAAATGAAGCTGATTTGATCAAAATGATTAACAATCTACAAGCAAAAGTAGAGAGAACCAGACAGAAAATCGTCGCTGCTAACTCACAAGAGGAAAATATAGTGATGGAAGAAAAACCTAAAATTAAATCAAGTCTTCAACCTAAGGATCAACAAGATTTTGATGAATGGATATCTGGAGTCAGAAAGAAAAGGTAATTTTTTATATGCATTAAAATAAAAATATATTAATATATTAATATATATTTTATTAATGCATGTGCACATATATACACACCAAATATTAGTATTATATATTGAATAACTAACTTAATATATAATTTAACATTATATATTAAGTTATTAATATATTATTATTAATCGATATTACTAAATCTTTATTTTTTATAGACAAGAATTATTGGATAAACGTATGGCAAAGAGACAAAGAAGACAAGATATGGCAAAGCGAAGAACAGCTGCTGCACAGGAGAGAATGCGTCTAATTAGCCAGTTGGCGAAAAAAGAAAAGCGTGATGACGATTTTGGTATGCGAGACGAAGATTGGGATGTATACAAAGTTATAAACAAAGTATATATTTTTTCTTATTTATGTCAAATGTACAATAATGATAATATAAATGTTGATATAATTTCTTACAAAATGTTTTCTTGCAGGAAGGTGGCGATTCTGATTCAGAATTAGAGCAAGAGAAGTTATTGGAATTGGAAGATGTTTTACGTCATCATGATCCAGAATTTGATAGCGCTGGTTCCAGTGTTCCCATGGTTCCTGGGGAAACTCACCAACTTCATGTAGGCGTAGAGCGTCTAAGGGCACCAGAATTATTGTTTCAACCATCTATGGTTGGTTCTGTGGAAGCTGGGATTGCCGAGACAATCGAATTTGTTTTAAAACAATTTCCGCCTGAAGAACAAACGCGTCTCGTGAGTAACATATTTCTTACTGGTGGACCAACAGCTTTTCCAGGATTATTGGAAAGATTGAAACGTGAATTACGCGAAATGAGACCTTTCGGATCAAACTTTCAAGTTAATATTGCAAAAAATACTAGCTTGGATGCTTGGTACGGTGCGAGAGATTTCGGTTTAAATGGCAACCTTCCTGAGTATTTAGTCAGTCGTAAAGAATATGAGGAGAAAGGTGGAGAGTATTTAAAAGAACACTTGTCAAGTAATACTTATAGTCGATCGCCCGATCCTTTACCAATGATACAAGTACCTGTAACATCCGAGCAAGTAATTGTAGAAGATGCTGTAGTCGATGTGGAAATTGAATAAAAAGTAAGAATAATTAAGGTAATAATTAATAATTATACACGCATATTGATAATAAATTATATAATTATATTAAAAATAAAATAATTAAACAAGATAAATGAAATGTTTTCAATATTTTTATCTCATCAGGCAGGTTTAACTGGATACAATTTTTATATGCAATATAATTTAATCATAACATATAAAAAAGAGATTTTATTGATTGGATATTAACAAAAGATACGACCAGCAGTTATTCATGGATACCTACTTTATTACACAAGTATTTCTGTTTGTTCATTTTATTACGAACAAACTACATTGTAGTCTGTTTGCTGATCACAATATACAGTTCCCAAACATCGCATTTCGCCATTCAACACAATTACACGGGATACGTTTTATACGTTTTACTTTTCTTATTTTTCGAGGACAATCGACATCGGCTTCTGGGCGTTCTTCGTGTAGCCTAAAAAATTATGAAAGTGATCCCTCACCTTAGCGATAAGATTGATTTTACAGCAACCTCAGTTACAAATCACCGCTCTTGGTCTTAAACGACTTATGCTAACATCACAATATAATACACACTGAAATCATTATCGAGGCCTCAGATAGCTACAATTAACACTACTAATTCTTGCGCATCAATAAAGGAACCCATATCGTAATATAACGCTTGAATTTCCTCGAGCACTCGAGTTTAATCAGAAGAAAGAGAAGTTTACACATAAATGATAATCACAAACTCTTAAATCACAGGTGCATAGCATTTGTTCATAGTACATAATTGATCAAGACTAAAAAATCCTCATTTCATATGCATTGCATATTCTCAATCTATATCAAGTAAAAATAATAACATAAATGTGATGTATACGCTATTATAATTTACAGAATCTTCTGCGTATAAAGTACATAGTATATTAATATTTTTGTAGACAACACGCTGAAACAAATATACTAAGATTTGCATAAATATATATTTTGTTAAAACAATATAAATCTAATATTACAAAAGCAGTGCAAGCCGACAATATTTGCACATACAAAATTGTAAAGCTCATCACAAAATTAATATAAATCTTGAAACGTTTAATGGTCTGCGAGACAACAAAAATTAATACAATTTAATGAAATATCAGGATAACAATTGATAATCTATTTTGTTTTACATCATGTTTATCGCATTTAATTATGTAATGAGCTAAACATCACAAATTTGTAGGCATATTTTGTTAGTCAGGCTCACTAATTAATTATCTGGGTATAGCGAATACAGAACTTAATGTAAATATCCTTTATAACTATCACAGTTTGAGGTCGCTGCAAATCAATGTTTCGCTTGTAATGACACACTATATCTTACGAAATTTTCATTCACAGAGAGAATGGAAGGGTAAATAGGTGTGGAGGACACTTGGGTAGTTTTTATTTACGATAAGATTGAGGTAGAATCCAATCTGCAAATAAATACAATTTTTGATCCGCATATGCTATAAGTGAGGGGCTACTTCCGTTAATAATTAAAAATATATATGTAGAGCATTAAAATTATACCGCGACGACGATGATACAATAATCATGATATATAATAACAGTATAAATGATGATAATATTAATATATAAAGAATGACCAAAAAAAAAATAATTAGTACAATGCAATTAATGTTATTTTTTCCGCAATATAATGGCTGTATGTATTTATATATACATATATATTTATGTATATCATTCATATGATGGGATAAGGATTGACAGCTATGTACAGTACATGCTTGCCTTAGTTGTACCATCTTTATGTTATATGCACCTATATCCTCTGCATTAATTATATGACAATAATAATAATAATCAGAATATAATCAGAATAATTACAATAATATAATAATCGTAATTAGTATCGTTCTTTTACTCATAAAATATCCTATGTATAACACGTACCTGTAATAATAACTATATGCAGTATGTACGTAAAGAGGATGTGTTCAGATTAGGATATGTCGATAAAAACTATGTTATACGAAGCGTCAACTTTTTATTCTCTCTGCTATAGTTTATCTTGTTTCTTTTTTTTTTTAAATCGTTTTTCGCAAAATGACTATTACAAAAGTGCATTACTCGCGCATTTTCTTATATTTTATATATATATATACGTACATACATAAATCGGCGTAGACCTACCTATTTTTTTTCTTCATTGTCGTTTATATTAGTTCGGTAGCGTTAATTATCTTTCAATTATATATTTTATTCTTTCTTAACGGAGCGCTACAATAATCCCCTTGTTTACATCATACATACATACATACATACGTACGTACATACATACACACTGCGGGTGTATACATACATATTACATGATACTTTCTACGCACCGACGGTATATATAAGCATATTTTGTTTTATCGTCGTATCATCGTATCATAATTTTGTTCCTCCTGTGATTTTAAAACTGTGATGTGGCTGATGCAGATATACGTCATACATATATCCGCGGTTTATTAGCAACCCTCTTATCCCTCCTTATTCATCGTTAAAGGTTTGACGACACGCAATTCCGGACTTGCTTTCGTTTTAATCAAATGCTTTAGGCACCGTTTAAAACTTTGACTTGAGAGAATTATTAGCGATAGAAGAGCTTACTCTTGTACTTACGGCCTGGTGACTTTTAGCACTCCCGATAGACCAGATTTCTTTAAAACATTTATTAAACCCTTCACAGCTCTCGCGTAAGAAAGAATTAATATAATAGATAATATGTGTGTGAAAAAGCGGAATATATAAATATATTGGAAAGGAAGTAATTGTGTTAACGAGGAAAATAATTGAAAGCAAGATAATGATAAGTATATAATATTAATTTTACCGTATACGAAAAAGCCATTCAAAACATTTTTATCGAATATAATTAAACAAATTAATCACATCTCATTTCCAAACTTAATATACATATACAATATAACAAGACTAGTATCATATGTGTGCCGATTATTATTATCGCAATCTTGTTTAAAATGTGATTGTAGAATTATCTCGAATTATATGCAAGATTTTTCATAAATATCGCGCAAACTTCTTTACATTGTGACACTATCACCTCTGTGTGCATTACTATTGCAGAAGTGTGACGGTATAAGCTGTAAAGACTAAATGCAAAGCGCCGAGATACGCATTCTCGTCGTCGTTGCAAAAAAATATTGTTGGACGAGGAAGACCGTTATATTATATGTATATACATGTGCAAATTTCTCGTACATGTGTGTGAAAAGTGTGTTAAATCTCTCTCGTCGGTTGCTACAAAAATATCAATATATATTTCAAATCAAGCGATAAAATACACCGTTTAATGTATACGTTCCTTTTTTTCGGTTCATCTCGTCTATATCTCTTTTGAATAGATATTATTTCTATGTTTTAAAAATGCTACATGGATGACATTTGTCTCCCAACGTGGTTGTTTAATCCCAAAGTGCCTCCGTTAATTAATTACATCCCTTCCCTTCAGAGTGATTCGCTTGATACACACGGTACTCTTTGTACATCTGTTTCACACAATCGTATTAAATCTAGCTTGTGGCGTGAATCAAGCAAATCACCCGAATCGAAACGATGATCGCCTCGATACCAGAAAGAGCGATGCTCCGGCAATAATTTAACTTTAGAGATAAAAATGAAGTTCGACTTATTGTCGAAGCGGTCGCGCGACCCTTACACCGCCAAGGCGAAGGAATATATTCTTTCTTTTTATTGCTGTAATTCAAAAGATGTGGTCAATTAACATATTTTTTCCTCATTCGTACAGAGAAATCCCTGTCGAAATCCCTCCCCCATTTCTCTCCTCCCATTCGCCCCCGCGGAAAGATTGCTTTGAGAATCATTGCCCTGATTAATGTAAAGTTTTCCTACGTGTTCGCGGTCTACATCTCCGTGTTCGTTCCAAACTAAAGCCAGTACTAGAAGTGCGTGTCCCTTTTTTTTTTTAATATATGTATATATATGTATATGTATATCGTCCACTCCGCGGCACCAAAAATTCCTATACTACTTTATTACGCAGGCCTCTATAAGACTTACGGTAGCACGGTAAACCTCTATAAAAATAAGAGCTATCCTACGTAAACGTATTACAAAAATAAATGGCATTGTACTCTGCTAAAGAAGCAAAATGGTACAGGCGCAATGTCGAGCGACGCGAGCATCGTCAATTTAATTAATCCTCCCCCTTTCCCTTGCTTCATCAAGTTTTCTGTCTTCGTTTTAGGTGTCGTCCCTTCGTTACAGTCGTTCTTTTTTTTTTTACGGTTAAATCGCTAAACCGATCGCTAAATTCGAAAGCTCGAATTCTTTTTTTTTATTTACCGCTTCTCTTACGCGAGACCTTCCCTCGATCGACTCCCTACTGAAAGTCAGGTTTAATTACATCACGTGCTACTCGTGCCAGGCGACGCGAGGGTATAAAACGTACGAGCCAGGGCTGTGCTTTGAGCCGGGGCTATCACAAGTACGAAGTCGATCACGCGGCACGATAGAGCATTTGATATAAAAGTAGTCGGACCAGGAGCCAGGTTTTATAGTTCTAGGAATGAAAGTGTCCTCCGAGATAAAACGTTGCCATTTTGCTCACGATATTGTTCATTGAAGCGAGAAACCTTTTCGAATTTGCTTTAATCTCTTTCGTAATCATTTAATCGCCAGCAGTTGTCGTTCAAATGGTTTTAATATTTTTCAGACTTTTAATGAGAGATTAAAGATTCTTATATATATATATATTTTGCACACATCTCGATAAACATTTATTTCTCTCTCCAATGAATAATACGTTTCAGAAAATGGTAATATTTTCTAGGACGACCCTGTATATATTTTTAATAGGAGAGAGAGAGAGAGAGATTTAGTAAGGATGCCACCACCAATAGTTCCACACGGTTCGATCATTGAAATTTGTTTGAAAGAGTGTATCGAAAAGATACGTGCAGAGCAACTCGTTAAATTGTATGAGAATGTTAGAATATGCGATGCATATCGCATTCTTCTTTGATATGATTACATGACAAAGACGAACTATCTAACATTGATGGATATAATGTTTCACACAAGATTATTCCATATTCCAATTGAATAATTGATATCATTATACGCATGCTCAAATAATTGAGAACAAAAAATCTCACAAGCACAATCATGAAACAAATATATAATTTTTCAAGCTCTATTTCTCTTTATATATTTTCTACATTTCGTTTTTTTTCCTCACTTAAGTAAGGAATTATTTTATACTCCAAATATAAAAAGGACAGAAAGGAAACTAAAACGAATCTGTGAATAAAATCAAAAATTTTTATATACATAAGAGTGAAACAAAAAAATAATACAATATAATCGATTATAATGGCACAACCGATACTTGCAAGATTATAATTAATTTTGTTTCTATTAATTGAATTTTTGCTGCCCAAGGGATAATACTTTTTTTTATTGCAATGGGTTTTTCGCTCTTAATTTAACTTAAAACATTTTTCGCGAGTATTATAGTAATAATAATACTTAAAGAAAAATCTAGTAAAATCAAATTTTATATGACACAAACCATATCAACTGTATACATCTATACAGAAAAATAATGCATCAAAACATATATAAAGATAAATCTCTATTTGTAAAAATTACCTTATATTTCATTCCTTATTTCATATAAAATTATTACAATACAGCCGCGTATCGATGCAAAGATTACGGCAGAATATAAACAAATGTGTAGTATGCCGTGAAAAAAAAGCATGTCTTAAAATATTCCCAAGAGCAGCTATGTATTTCAATGTTTCTTTCTTCGATGTTTTTAAACACAATTTAAAAATTGTGCTTTCGCATTTAAAAAATAATTGAACGCCAACACATGAATCGAGAACTCCATAGAGAGAAAACCCATCATTTACATATAATCAATTCTCATCACGATGCTTGAAAAACGTTATCGGCTGTCTGGCATAATTTATAATTTGATATTTATTCAATTTAACACTGGGTGATTTTGAGTTTATTTAATGCGCGTTACGACTGATAGTTACGTTAACTATCGCCAATTTGTATTCAAGCGCAAAAGAATACGTCATTGACACACAAATATATGTAAATCAATCTACGTACAGGAAGAGTTCAATGAGATATTACAATAAATTTTTCACTACAGTGAGAAAACAATAAAATTAAAACAAAAGGAAGAATTTTATCGCGATGTTTGCATTGAAAAAGATTTAAAACGCGTATAATTTTCAAAATAGCTTGCATCATGTTACCTATAATGAAAAATTAAAATAAATTATTCACGTATACATGCGTATTTCACACATAAAAATAACGTTTCGATAACGTTTTTTTAACAAAAATTGTATGTATAATAAAAATTGAAAAATTGAGATAGAATAAAATGATTGAAGATAATTCACTTATCTTTCTTTTTCGCTATAATACAACAATCAACATGCTTAATGAATATGGCATGATGTACTATAAACGATTTATAAAATTTTCATTGATAATAGAATTTAAAAAGAGTGCGGAAGAATTGATCTATGAATCTATATTTAGCATACAAAGAGACTACAGGATATATCTCGCATATGCATAAATTCGTAAATTAATAAACGCGTCAACAAATACAAATAATATTTTATATAATTTATTGTTATATATTACACGGTACACAATATAACATTAAATATATCTATCTATATTCTTTGAAAGTTAATTTCTCTCTACATATAAATTGCTCGAATAATAAAAATATGAGAAAAAATCTAATACTGTAATAGGCGGACGCAAATGAAAGCAATTTATATCTCAAACAAAAAATAAAATGTATGTACAGAGTAATGAAACTTGTAATTTATTTATAAACGGTTAGATAACCGTCTTTTATCGCCAATTTACATTTCATCATCTGTGTAACTGTACTTCTTCCGCACCGCAAAATTATAAAAGATAGGGACAGAGCATATTTGCAGAGAATATCGTTGTCTTGGAAGCAATAGTAAATCTAACATTCAATCACAAGATATGGGTGACTAATGTTAAGTCAGATTAATGTAAAAAATAGTGATGAACAAAATTTCATCATTCGTATCTTTCCGAGATAAACATAAATATTAACTTTGTGCACTCAATCTCAAATAAAATTTCTTAATAGAGTAATGCAGTTATTAATGTATGTAAATTAATATAATAAAAATAAAATCACAGACGTAATCTGAACAGCCAATTTTTATATATGATACATTTTTACGGAAACCGTAAAATATATAGATCATAATAATATCCTCATTATCAAAATATATTGTCAAAATACTCGTTTATATATAGACGTATTTTGTATGCAGCAGCATTAAGAATATGTAGTAAATTAAATATTTGCAAACAATTCGAATAATATAAGATAGTTAAGAAACTACAATATCTGTCTTATAAATATTATTACGACTTTTTCTATATTTCTTCATATATTATTGAAGACGAACCTGTTTGTTATCAATTTTGTTTTGTCACAAAATCATATAAAATTAATTTGATATTTTTCATACGACTATTTGCCAATATTTTGTCAATCGAAAATTAACTTAAAACATAATCGCTCCGTCTCATATTACACTAGAATGCAATTCCAGTAATTATTAATTATTAGTCATTAATAAAATATAAAAACATATATATGTGTAGTTTTACATATCGTACACCGAGTTTTATATGATGTTAGAAATTTCCATTGAGAAAAATAATGTCCTGCAATATTCATAAATAATAAAATAAGTCCAACCATATATATATCTTCTAATGATACATCATTATAAATATTGTATTCAGCTCAGACAGTAATATGCGCGAGTGATAAGCATTAATAAAACGTAATTAATTCAGCAAATAATCTCAAGTATCACGCAACAGTTTTTTTTCAGCTAAACGTGTTCATTATTGCGATTTGCGTTATTAAGTCGACTATTATTCAAATGAATTCACGTAGCGTAAAATCATTCATCCTTGATTGCTTGCAATCATCAATGCTCGTAAAGATCATCGTGAAGTATACGTAAGCGGTAACTTGAATTATGTTCTACGTAGAGGCTCGCGTCTCAGGTTAGCGCAATGTCTTTTGATTTCCTTACTGATTATATTACGTATGTATACACAAGATGCTTTTATGCAATAAATTTCACAAAAAATGATACATCCGCGTGAGACTTTGAAGTCGTTCTTTTCTTGCGTGCGATTGGCGACATTAGCTTATCACGTTCTCGCGTCCTCAACATGTTATAATCAGGGTAACAAACCCTTTCGTCCAATTTTTCGTACAAACTTACTACGGTAAAATCGATCTTACGTCAAATCATATCATCAATGTAGCATCGATTGCTCTCTGACATTGTAATGTAAAGTGAAGAATGAATCAGCGAAGCGATGTAATATCTCTGTTACAATGATAATCGATCTTCCAACTACCGGAAATAATCAAGGACATTATATGAGGGAATATCAGCCGTGGAACTAAAATAAACTAGCGGGAATCTATTTTAATCACAGGCAGGAGAAAAGTAGAACAGAGTCAATATTACATTCTCGAACTTTTGATATCAATCATCTCAAAGCTGAATTCAGTCAAACATATTTCGCAGTTGAAATCTTTAATATAAATACGGATCCTCGTTTTGTAACTTATCGATTTGACTCATATTTCGTACAAATAAAATCAATTTTATATATAAATACTTAAAAATATTTTTAAAAAATAATAATTTAAAAAAATTCCAGAAACATCGAAATTTTCTCATCCGATAGTTAGAAAAATAAGAAGATTAGTGTACAGAGTTATCTGCGAAAACAAAAGAAAGAGTAAAATGAATAAATAAAAATGAATAAAGAAATGTGCATCTCACGTTCGCGTACCTTTACGTACAACGAATATTCGTTCGCCGCGTATAATAATAAGTATAGCACTTTTTGCAGACGTATTTTGCGCTTTAGAAGCGCCACGGAACGTCTTTTTCTTTTTTCCATTTTTATCACTTTTTATATGTACATATGTATTGGTCCGACGAGTGCTCTCTTGAAGAAAGGACCTATATTTTGTGCCCTCTTCTTACGAAAATACACATTTTTTTGATATACATGCCACGAATACTACGACTCGAAGATACATACGTCCCATGGAAAAGCGATTAATGTGTTGTCGGCGTGAGATCGTTATTACCGATTCGGAAGTTTCGATTATAATCTCAGTGCTGGGCAATATCCTAAAAATACATACATATAGCCTATACGTATGCGATATACTGTCTGAAATAGTTCGTATACTATATAAATATTGAATAACACAGCTAAAAATCTCACTACATTTTCAGGACACTGGCTAGGATGGTTTCCGACTGAAATTTCTCAGTTGCGTTTACGTTAGAAACGTAATTGCAACTTTCAATTATTAAACAAGCAGAGATTGTTTTGCTTTTGGCAAGTAAATTCCTTAAATCGCGAAATTAATTTACATTTGATATAAAATTTCAAAATCGTCCGTTTCCTTTTGTGCAAATTCCATATAGTCTTGACATTTAGAAACGCAGGTAAATAAAATATTTTTGATCAAACAAATGTACATTCATTATCTTTTCTTTAAGTAGACGTAAATTAAATGTATGCGCTCTATTCGTAATAAATTGCGTGCAGCATAGACATTGGAATTGACATTTCGCAGATTAATGAATTCCGACTTAAAATGTGTCGATAAGATAAAATTAGCCGCCTGAAAGTAAGCATCTCTATTTCAAACAGTATGACACGATTATATATAAAAATTTATAAAACATAAACCCTTCGCGACCCATGCGCGCTCGTATAAAACTCTCTGTAAATACTCACTGTAATTATTCTCCCTAAACGATAACATACGATATCTAAATATATGCCTTTTTGCCCAACACTGCGAAGATGTATACTTAAAACGAAAAAAAGAGAGGAGATCGAAGTTGATAATTAATCGATCGATTTTTAGATGTCCCTAATCTCTCTACTTTTTTATTTACATATTTATAATAAGCTACAAAATATAGATATATATATATATATATATTATATATATATATGTGTGTGTATGTATCACTATAACTAGGAGCTGCGCGATCATATGCACGGAGGCTTTAATCACAGCTTTAGTAGTACAATTAATATCTCGTAGAGCTGCCCAATGACTAGCCGACAAAAAAAATCAATTGCTTTCTCTCGTTACATCTCATTCCTCAATTGATCATGAATCAAAAATTGCGCATTTACGAGTTTACTTTTCCTTATGTATAATTAATTCTTTATTAATAGCTTATTAAATTTTAATTATAGTTAATTATAGTTAATCATCAATTATAGTTAATTGATTAACTACGTCAATGAAATGAAATGATAATTTTCCAATTTATTTTGTCGTCCAAGAACATACGTTTTACGCGGCTTTTCTTCATTAATGAAAGACTCTATCGGTCTAATCCTTCCTCAGCGCGTTTACATGTAATGAAAACAGAAAGAAAAGAGAAAATAAATAGAGAAAGAGACAGAGAGAGAGAGAGAGAGAGAGAGAGAAAAAGGAGAAAAGAAAGAGAACAAACGTTTTCGTATCTTACAGTCCATTACAGTAAAAGTCAGTCTTACCCAGGTGTGACTTCCGCATACTCTTTAAATCAAAAGCCTCGGGCATACGCGCGCAGGATCATTTTGATCATTTTACGATGTGAAAACTAGATCGCCGAAAGAGAGAGAGAGAAAGAGAAAGAGGAAAAAGAGAGAACCACGATACAAGGAAGTTTGAGAGGCACGCTAGCGCAAATATTGTATATATGTAATAATATAGCTTTCTTGTTCGGTTTGTGTACCTTCGTAGCTCTATAACGCGCAATTAATAATGGGTGAATTGCAATTTACACAACTTGATCGCAACTATCTCAAAACGATTACTCGAAAGTGGTAATCACCGTATAAGATTGTGCACTTACTGAAACTAATTCTACTTCTCCAGCTCTACGCGGTTGTCATGGTTCCCCCGCGCTTACACAGAAGATTGCAGCGTTAGTGAACAGGAGGTAATAATAAACTAATATAGCTCTAGAGATAGTATTCGCGAAGAATCAACAGCCTATTGCGCCTCTTTTATGCAGAAGAACTTTTTTTTTCCTTTTACGACTCGCATCCCCTACTACTTCCGTCTTATAATACATCCGTACGCCGTATATGTATATGTATATACAATATATCTGTACACATACTTCGATATGTGGAAAGTAAGTACAACTATATAGAACTGATTCAAAGCTGTGCACTATCCTCTAACAAAGAATAATTTTTTTATCACAAAAACGCGCACCACGTCACAACGAATGTAGGTATATATCCATTGGCGTTGCGAAGGGATAAACGTTCTATGATCTAAAAGAGAAAAGCGGATATAAGGAATTCTCGTAGCGCGTTTCAAGCTAAAGAGAAACCATGACGACTATGTGACGGATCGAATACGCTACACGTGATTGGCGAAATAAACGCGTATGTGTGTGTGTGTACCTAGCTAATGATAATAGTTTTAATAGCTTAGTAGTACGTAGTAGCAGTAGAGTAATAGTGGTGACGATAGTATAGTAATAGTTGTAATAGTAGTAGTGAGATAGAGTAATATATGGGGAAATGTCGGTGGTGGTGATAGACGTGGTGGTGGTAGGATTAATTAGAGAATAATAGTAGAGTGAAACAGTGAGATATACAGGCATCGAGCCTATATATAGTGTTGTTGTTTTTGTTGTTGCTGTTGTAAAATTAATAGTAGGGTGTCTACCAAACATCTTCGGTAGAACCAAAGTAGATCAAATTTCGTTCCGTGACATTGCTTTTCCTTTTCCCTCCTTTTGATATTTATGAAAATTGTGTAAACCAATAGTTTAAACATTGTAGATAATAATTACTATCTATATCACAGATCCAAGTGACTAAATTCCTTTAAAAATATAATATAAATATGTGTACGTGTGTGTGTATAATGATTCACGCATAATATATATACACATATGTACAAAGAATATCATAAATATGGAGCAGCCACTTCGTGTAAACATATGTACAAAAATGTGTCGTTTTCATGTCGTATTTCGATTGAAATTTGAGATAATTACAATGCTTGTTACTTTATTTGCAACAATACGAAACAATAGAAAATAATCCTCAATCTCAAAATAATTCATTCTCAAACAAAATAAAAGCAAATCTTTTCTTTAAGAGAAAATGTCTAGAAGTAACATTCTATCAGGTAACGTCTTGGCAGAATGAAGAGATCAATTAAATAAAAACATTTTTAAACATATGTTCAAATGAATTTTTGCTCTAGAATCACACCTGAAGTAGCGATCCACATTTACAATAAACCTTGTATATATGTATATGTATACTCGCAGAGACGTGATTAAATCAAACGAAATAAGAATGCTGAAATTATGGAGACCTATAGAAACGTTACACGCTTCGATTTCAGCTAGCATCGGGTGCAATGATAAAATCATTCGAAACGATACACATACAAATCCTGCGTCGGCACGATCTGATCGGCCCGCGATTGAAAACCGCGTCTCTAACAGGTGCTATTCAATCTCGTGTTTAAAAAGATGCTCGTGAGTATAAAATCCATTAGATGAACACAAAGTATTAGCAAACGTTTCTTTTTTTCTTTTTTCGAGCAGCAATCACAATTGATGTACAATTGAAACAATCGGCTTATGTCGTCGTATCCTTCTTTGACCAAAAGCGTATCTCAAAACCGAGTGACGAGCGAGCATCTGTCGTTACAAACCGGAAGTATTGGATGCTCGATAGGCACTTTGATCAACCGACGCGATTAAATAGCACCAGTTTAACTGGTATTATCATACACGTTGGAAGTCGATCGATGCTAAGTGAAAACTCGCGTTCAATTGTTACGCTGAATATAATCCGAATACGAGATCGCGGGGTTCGTATTCGAATAATGAGCGTACAAATAGAGCGCGGGATGAAGACCTGGCGGAGGGATGCCGCGATGCAGCTGGTGCGAATGATGTTGTGGCTCCGATGTCGGATCTAGAGGGGACAAATGCGGATAGAGTTGGGAACCAGGGCTGTCCATGGGGTTGGAGGAGCCCGTCGTTTGGTAGACACTCTGCGGTGTGCTCGTGTGCTCGGTGTGAGACATAGGTGAATTAAGTGTGAACGGCGAAGACGCCGAGGTGGGACATACTACTTGCTGTGATGATTGGTGTTGCGGCAGGGGCTGGGTGACGATGCTGCTGCCATCTAAACACTAGTTGGTGGTTTGCGGATGTAGCAACGGTAGTGGAAGCTGTAGATTGTTCTGCTTGGCTAAACTAGCGATCTCCGCGGCTATGCCGGGGTTGCCTTTGGCTCCCGCGAGGCCATCCAATGACGACGGTCCCTCGTTGTAGCGCAAATCACAGACCGGACTCTCGAAGCCGGTGCCTGGCGTACCAGCGCCGCTACTCTGTGGCGTCGGTGGATTGTGATTCGAGCTGCTCTGATTCATGTCACGATGCACCCGATTCTGATGCCTTATCAGATAACTATCGCGTACGAACGTACGTCCGCAGATATTGCACTCGTAAGTGGTACTGGCGGTGTGTGTACGGATGTGAATCGCAAATTGACTTTTGGACGTGAACGTGAGGGAACATCGGTCGCAGACCAATGGTTTCTCGGCTACGTGGCTCCAACGATGCGCCGTGACGTAGCTCTTTACAGCGAAACGTTTGTGGCAAATGTCGCATGCATACGGTCGTTCCCCCGTGTGCACCCGTTTGTGAGTATTGAGACTGCTCTTTTGAGTAAACCTTTTCAAACATAGCTCGCATTGAAAAGGTCGCTCGCCGGTGTGCGTCCTCATGTGCACTTCTAGATAAGGTTTACGGCAAAAACTCGCTTCGCATACTGTACAATGATAGGGCTTATTTCCCGAATGAAGTTTCATATGCACATAGTAGGACGAAGCGGAGGACAGCACCTTGCCACAAACCTTGCAAGGTTGAGGTTTCGATCGCGAGCCCTCCTTCACGGTCTGTTGACCCGTAGACTGACGACCGGGCGACTCGTGCGGCATACCCTGATTCTGCTGTTGCTGATTCTGCGGCGCCTGTTGTTGACTCTGCTGCTGATTCTGCGGCTGACTTTGCTGCTGATTCAACTGTATCGTCTGCTGCTGGGGCTGCATATGACCTTCCTGTTGAGAGAGATCCTCTCGATCGTCAGATAGATTCACCATAGAGTTAGATCCGTCCGAGCGACTTGAAGCAACAGAGTAAAATCCCATAGGTTCGCTCTTGATCTGTTGTTCAAACATGGACGTCATTATGTCAGTCTGCTGCGGTTGAATCAGCTGCTGAGGCTGCTCGTCCTGCTGCTGTTGCTGGGCTGCTTGCTGATGGGGGAGCAGAGTCAGATTGCGCTTGACAAACTGCTCATATCCTGCGTACCAATCCACCTGTGACAAGAACAAAGATCTAGAATAGTGGTACACACTTTTCAGGACAAACTACCCTCTAGTATTATATCGCGAACGACTGTGGCGCGCATACGGTTATGTCAGGTTATACCAAGCCGCTTTGACATTTATCGTTGACAAGTGACAGAGAATAGCCAAACGATCAGCTGATTGCATAACTTTTACGCGATGCCATCGTACACGGCGCAACGCCGTCGTGGAAAGACGGTCGGCCACAGGCTGACGCGAGCCGCTCTATTTTTAAAAGAGCGACGATGGAGAAACGTCGAAATATATTTTGACGGCGGAGCCGGATTCCTCGCGCGAGCGGGGGGCCGCTCGAGAGAGAGAGAGAGAGAGAAAGAGAGAGAGAGAAAGAGGGAAGGGGAAGGGATCTGTTGTGCGTCTCCGAAGGATAGGATTCGACCGATCGTCGTCGATAACTCACCTTTGCTGATGTAGTGGTCCGGGTCTAGGGTCGAAAAACGTCGCGCCTCATCGAGCGCACCGCCTCCGGTCGTCGAGCGGCTTCACGGGCAATCGCGAAACATTTGTACGGCCAAATTGTTTTTCTCCGACACAAAATATAAGATGGCTGCTACTATATTTCGCGACGAGCACCTATATGCGCGCACACGCACACGCGCCCACTGCCGTCAGACGATACGCAAAAGCCGGCCTTCTAATTGGCTCTTCTCCTTAGGCCGCGTCACGCCGCGTCACGTCGCCGCGATTCGCCAATTATTCACGATGATTGGACGCGAGTGGATCTTACGCATCCTTATACATGTTTTCATGGATAAGAAGGTTCGAAATTCTATAGAAAAATAAAAATCTATGAATATCTAAGATATGCAGATAAATGTATAACAGTACATGGAAAAATTATATCTACTCTTGCGTAACGCGATCGCAACGATAAGATTTATAAGAATGTCAAATGTCAACCAACGACTATCCGTAAAATATGACAAGCTTAACGCCGCATTTTTCTCATTGAAATATTAAATGTTATTATCATACAATCTAAAATTTGATATATATAGAAAGAAGGCTTTATGCATACATGTGGCATAATGAACACGATATTTGAAAATTTGTAAAATTCGTTTACGTAGGCATGAATTCTCGTGTAGCCAATAACGCGACGAAACGAGAGCTCCTGATTGGTCGCATCGCAGGCATCTCTATATCTTTATGCTTATAGGTTTATGCCTCGGAGTGCTACACTCTTCGTACTCTTTGCACTTAAAACGAAAGAGGTATTGCTGGGGATGAGAAGAGGAAGGAGATGAGGAATATAATAGCAGAGGTGCAAATATAAAGGACAAACGTGTTATAGGTCATACATTGTAATTATTCCGCGCTGTTCGAGGAGACGGTGATTTCAAAGAGCAGTATATATTTACACGGTGTTCGCGTTCGGCCGAGAGCCGAAGTGGAAAAAAAATTTGTGTACTCATAACAGCGGCTTACAGCGGTACACCTTACAGCGAGCAGAATCGTAACGGTAATATTATATTCACATATTATATTTGCGTGATTTTCTTTATTCTCTTGCGAAATAATCGTATTGCATTCGATAATTCGATAATTATCACGTAGCATAGATCATATTTGCGTATTATAAGTCATTTGAGAGTGTGTGTGCTCGACTTGAGAAACTTTTCGGAGTAGACAGAGACTCTCTCTCTCTCTCTCTCTCTCTCTCTCTCCCCCCAAAACGGTAGATATATCGGACGATACATCTTATTTACAACTGTAATAATTATAATATTTAAAAGAAATTTTCTGATTTTTGATGTTTCTTCGATTAATATTTGATATTTTTACATCATTAATCCAACATATCATATTTGACTTACTCTCGAGCCTCATTTAATACAATGTTTAATATTTAACATACATGAATAAAAAAATTTTGTATTAGAAAAATGGCTCTACCATCAGAGGATGTTATAAATACTACCGATCTCCAACATGATCCTGTAACAAAAGCAGTGGTCGATAATATAATGGGCAATCTGCCCACAAAAAAACCTCTTGTTCGTTGTGAAGACTGTGACCTTTCCTTCACAAGCCAAGCAGTATTGGATACACATTTACAAGGTGCACGTCATGCTAAACAGGTTAGTAATAATAACAAATGTATACAATACAAGATATGTGTATTACACAGGCAAAACAGATATAATATATTATTTCGTATTATCATTTCATAGGTAAGATCTAAGAACATAATGGCAACACTTGAGGAGACAAAGATTTCATTTACAAAGGATGAGGAATCAAACGGGCTTAAATGCAATGTATGTAATGTGTGCCTGAATTCAATTCAGCAGCTACAAACACATCTTAATGGTAATAAATGTGAAATATTCCTTGTGTTTATTATGAATTGGTTACAACATGTAGTTTTTTTTATTCATTATTAAAATAAAATAAATTATATTTGCAGGAAGCCGTCATAAAAAGAAATTATTGAGAGGTAATAATAAGTCCTTTATGGTAAGAAAAACACTGCCGTATGGTCTTAAAAATAATCGCTTCATGTATCTGGATAAAATAGAGAAAAACACTGTTGTACTGGTTTATAGCTTAGTATTATTCGCATTTGCATGCTTGACGCTGCTGCTTACTTTTGCTTTTCACTTCTTTCTATAAACTAACTATGTGAGATTAACTTGCTTGCCATTCTTTTATTGTTGTATAATTTCAGTGCTAGTAAGCGCTTAGTAATCATTGCAAACTTGTTGTTATTATGCGTTATTTATTATTATTATTTATTTAATATTTAATGATTATTGAAATATAAGTAATATTTGTATATTTATTATTTATTTGTTTATTAACATGTTATCGTGAAGAGCAATTGGTCACGACTTATTTGCATACATGTTACATTTAATAAACTAAATTTAGTTGACTATTCTTCTCAAATCTTTCTGTACAAATATTACACATATATGTATTACTTTTTTTTACTTAATATTACTGTATCATAGAAATATTCTCTTGTTATTTTTTAATGACTACCTTATATAAGATATATTGCACGATGGAAAATAAACTAGAACAACAAATGATACAAATTATTAAACTTTTATAACACAATGGCGTTGTATGTATTCTCCTAATTTGCAACTCCAGTTTTTGAAACAAAATCAAGATCTGTTTCATATATAATATGAAACAATCAACGACATATACGAAAACAGAATTCCAGAACAATAATATAAAAACACATAAAACCTATATTTGTAAAAATCTATATTTGATAAATATTATATATAGATTTTACTATTCAATGATAATACTTTACATTGCTATAAAAAGTTTGTAAATTAATGGAATATCTTCGTGAAAATACAATTCAATTTTGACATGTTACAGAGATATATATTTTAATAATTACATATTCCATTTAATATTACACACTCATTAATGATCAATCTTTTTATAGCATGAATGTAGTGTTCAAGCTGATTTATTATCACAAATTACCGCTTTTGCGGTTGTGATACATAGATAGTGTTGATCGCACATTGATGCTTAGGTGAATGGGATGGCAAAGAGGTTGTCACCCAAGGCATTGCGTTGGCATCATCAACTGGTAGCGCACAACAATCCAGTCCCACAAAAGGGGTTTCACTTTCCTGTGATACTTGTAACAAGTTCTTCAACTCCCAATCTCAATATAGTGTGGTACAATAATTTTATACATATTATTTATGCACATCAAATTTTTTATTTCAATACAATATTTCAATTATTTTTTTACTTTTGTATTGTGACACCATATTTTTCTATAAATTCCTTCAAGATATATTCTTTTATTATAATTTGCATTACATATCGAAAATGTACCACAATGTATCATATATGTAAAATTTAACATTGTGATGTTTATATATTTACAGCATATGAATTCGGAGAAACATGCTGACAAAGTGAAGAGATCTAAGAATCCGAATAAGAAAAGATTTATTCCATATTGGAAAAAAACAAAACGAATTGCAACTCCCAAGGGTCAAATACCATCCTTATCGAACAACTTTGTATCAGGCGGCATTACATATCAACCATAAGATGCATAAAAAAAAACATTTTACTTTGAATTATATATACTAAAGGATTATTTTTCATATTCTATCAATTAAAACTATGGCTATATATGTTTGAGTTTCTGCAAATCTTTCTTAAATGATTAAATGATTAAAACGTCATTTTTGCATAATAAGAAATTGTTTAAAAGAGAAAACGTAAATCTGCTATATATATATATAAATGTATACACATACATATATGTATGTATATAGCAACAAGTATGAAAACAAGTAAATATGTATTGATATGCATTCATTATTCGTATTGATGTTAAGCCCATTGTGCAACGAAGGTTGTAGAGTCCATTGCTGTTCAAACTATCGCAATTTAAAACAAGAATCGTAAAATATATAGTAATATAATTTATATGTATATTTTTACATTATATTTTTGGGGTTTCTCATGTTGAGAGTTGTATATTAAATTCAATTAGCCAATTTTATTAAAGTAAGTTTAATTTATGCAGGAAATGCATTTTAAATGTTCTCACAAACAGATTGTGCATCATCTTGCGATAATCCATCATTCTCAGGCTAGAAAGAATGTAATATAGCTTATAAATTCAAGCATTTTTCAATGTAACGTGATATTTAGTATATATACACATTCATATGTATTTTTTTTCTAACATTACCTGAATTATGTATGTTTTCAATAAACGACGTAATTCCGCATTCTGCCTTTGTAAAGATTCCATTTCAACATTCAACTGATGTCTTTCTTTTAATACTTTATGATATTTCTTAAGTCCAATTAATAAGCCATCCCAAAGTCGCTCCTTCTTTGCTGGAAAAATTTCACTGTAACGCTTCCAAAATTTGTAATATCCTGAATTGTCATATTTCGAGATACAACCGTTTTTTTCTCTGTTAATTTTTCTTGAAAAGTTTGTGGCATCTCTTTCCATTTAACAAAATGATATCTTTCTACAAATTCTCGTAAAGCTCTAGTTACAAATGAAGTTTCAATTTCAAGCAAGTGTCCTTTGTCGCATAATAAACGTCGTTGCATCTGATCGTCATCTGCAAATAAACAAAATTAATATTATTTCATCACAAATATGAAATTCTCTTTAACTCTTTAATTTTATTAGTCAAATTTATATAAAAGTACACATACCTTTGACAATATCGCTAATAGATGCAAAAGAAGTTGAGGTGCGCTCCGCAATAGGAAGTAATGTTTCAGTTGGAGAACTTGGAACTGAACTACTTATACTCGCATCATCACTGAGATTAAATGATTTCTCGTCACAGATCGCTTCTTTCGCAGCGGCAATCAATTTAACCTCATCTTCTGTAAACTCTTCAGCAACTTCATCGCAGATATCCAACTGTTCAATGCTAATATCTCGAATAATGCATTTTGCTTTGACAGGACATTATTTTCTACATTAATTGATTATGTAATCGTATCTATTATACATACTCTGTTTTCAGAGAAGGAGATTTAACAGTTTCGTCACAAGTAGATCTGCTTATATCCTTGCTACATGTGGGACAATATGCATATGGTAGAAAGAAATTCAAGAGGAAGCCCAGCTCCTCCTCGGATTTCACGTTCAATGCCTAATAATAATAATACATGAAAATAAATATAATAAAATAAAAAATTGAATATATCCATTTTATGTATAGGTATATTTACCTGAAATACATTATCTAATTGTATAACCAGCTGATCCTTCACAGTGTAAGGTAAAAGCAATTCGAGCAATTCATTTTCAATCAGATAATCGCAACGATCGGCAATCTGCTTTATAATATGATTCAATAATTTCCTTTCTAAATTGATTTCTTCGACGGTATTTGCCGGTTTGTAAGATTTACATATTGCTTTTTTCTCGTCGGCCATTCTATTTTCTTAAAAAATGCTAACATGTGACAAAAATTTTTGTAATGCGTAATCGATTAAAATAAAATAAATCGTGCTACCTTCTTCTATAGTGCATATCACACTGTGATAAGATGGCAGATCTTCTTTTTTTAATAAGGTTTCTTCAGGTGGATTCCATTCCAGACCTAACGCTTCTTCATATATAACTTTATCAATAGTTAAAATCTGAAACATGTTAAAATAATATAATATCAACATTAATAATATCGAAAAATTATATATGTATACATACCTTATCAAGCAGTTCATTCGCATTTTTCTCATTCATGTCCCAAATTTGCATATATTTCTTATCATTAATGTCAGTGAAATGATTAGATTTTTTCACTAAATCCAAAATATTTTTATGCGCTTTTATGACTTGATCAGTAAGTCTTTGTATTTCAAGTCTCGTATTTTCTTCTAATTCTGTGTAATTCTTTTTCAGAGCATTGATAACATCTTGAAGTCTGTAAAAGAAGCCCCAATTTGCTGCTAATTAATTTAGCAATCTAAGGAACATGTTGCAAGTTCGCGATATCCGATTTTCTAAACTAACCGTAAGTATATTTGAGTTTAATACTGACTTATTGATTCTTCTCTTTTGTTGATTTTTTACTATAGCGTTTTCGTCTTCGCGTCGTTTAAGTACAGCGTAGCTATAATCCAGCTTTTCAATATTCATAAAACACAACGCTTTCGTGCTTTGCACCTCTTGTCGAAGCTTTTGAATCTCAAGTTCAAAACTGATTTTCTGAGCCCGAAACTCTTCTTGATGCTCGATTATGACTCTCTTCATTTCTTCTTCATATTCGCTCATTATTTCTTTTCGTCTGTCTAATCCCGCGAGACTATCCTCTTGTAATTTTTTATATAACGCTTCCCACTTCTCCGTCATATTTTCTAGCAACACTTTACGCTCTGATTCGATCACATCATTGATGAGCGATAATTCACGACGATAAGCTTTGGTCATGATGTTCATCTAAATAAAACATACAAAAGTCCTCTCAATCAATTAGATTTCTATCTGATTAGAATATTAAGAAAAGTTATACATAAATCTTACTTGATTGTCCATTCTATTGATCAATAAATCTATATCTTCATTCTGATTTTTCTGGTCATTAACAAATTTGAGATCGGCATTTTCCAATTCTTGTCGCAATTGTGCGATGACGGCGTCTTTTCTCTCCATAATTTCCAAACACCTGGCATTTTGAGCTTCCATTTCCGCGTGTATATCCAACGGATCTTTAGACGCAAGAATAGTCGACCATTTTTCATTGATCTTCTTATATCTTTTCATGCATTCATCTTCGTCTTCCTCGAGTGTTTTTAACAACTCTCTTCTGATTTTCTGCTCTTCCTCTCGTCGTTGTAATTCTCTAGCATCGTTTGCGATTTTCACGCAAGATACCTATACACACATTTTGCAACAAAATCGCGTTTAATCGAATAATTCTTTGATATCAATAATATATTGTATAAGTATATAAAAAATTATATTAATATAAGAATTTGTTATACCAACCACTTCGTCTCCTTCCATTGATAATTTTTCCAAGAGTTCAAAACTAGCAAGTATTTGCTTTTCGGTAGGCGTCTTTTCGATAATTTCTTCATCTTCGGGGCCTGCTTTTCTGCAAGAATAATAATTGTGACATTATGTCATAAACGCCAAATCTTTGAACAAGATACTTTACAAAAATATATAGTTTTAATGTCGCATATTACAATGGATTATTATATAAAAATATATGTTTTATTTAATATCAAAGTTTACGACATTTTTCTGCGTTATATCAGTTGCATAATGTAACGTAATGAACAAAATAAAAATGTTCTTACTTAGTTAACGCTTCTAGACGTCGCTGAACACGAATCCGACGTGCTAATTTTCGCTCGTTTGGATCAGACGACGTAATGGATGGCTCCTCCGAATCTTCCGCAAACTCCGAATATTTGTCATTCATTATTCATTCCCTCTCTACGAACGCTTCGTGTTGGAAACTTGGCTGTAAGTATACACGCGTCGCAAATAAATCAAGCAATATTTACGAAGATCTTGATTTATGACGTCGCGATATAATATATGTACGAAATAATTCAATCTATACACCGGAGACGAACAATTTCTTTTTTATTCCACGAATACATGAAATATCTGCGTTTGTTTGCTCAATATATTCAGTCGTCAGGTGAATGGATGTTTGTTTCCTATCAAGTACAGATATATTTCTACAGATATATCTGTGCGTTATAAAATATAATTAATGCAAAAATAGATAAAACCTAACCTTTTGGATTTATATGTATTAAAAATATTTTGAAATTTCGGATCTAAATCAGATGACAGATAACAGCTGATCCAAAGTCAGCAGTCGGTAAAGTAGGCTACAATTTTATCCTAATAATTGATACATCGCGCCGAAAGATGTCGCCACGCATCAAATTTGCAGTTGGTAGCTGCGCACAAACTCCACCGGAAATCGCCGCCATTTTCGCGCGGGCAGGCAGATGATCACGACGCGAATTACCGAGGTAAACGAATCTATCAAAATATCAAAAATTTCCAAAAAATACTTGTAATGAGTAGACACGCGTCTTCACACATTTCTACGTTATATTATACTTGTATCCGGCTTACATAACAATCGCGATTACTTGGCAAAAATCGAAGACGCGCATATAGACACACACACACACACACACACACACAGGTATATCAGATTTATATTTATCTTGTTGAGTGCGATTATAGATAAACGATCAGATCGCGTTGTACGTGTTGCTGTTATCGTTTGGCGCGAAGGAAACAGCCGACGTTAATGCACCCGATTTATCTCGTCTCGTGCATTACGTACGTAACCTTCGGACGCGAGGAACGCGAAGTTGGGCGCTTCAATGACGATAAGTACTATCATCAATCAGTCCCACAGAAGGCCCGAGATAATTGTACCGAAACCGCTAAGAGCGATTTAGCTTCGTGACTCGATAACGGATATACGCGCGATGAATTAAGACGTAACGCGTCTCTCTCTTTCTCTCTCTATCTTTCTTTCTCCATCTACGGGCGGATTAAGAACATCGCGATCCGTAAACGTACGTCGCGTATTTGCGACACATGCTAGCTTGAATTATTAATGCCGTGTGTGTCCTCGTTCCTTACACGTTCGATTCGGATTCGTTCGATAAATGACGTTGTCAATTTTACAAACTTCCATCACGCTAAGTGACGAGTAGATTATCGCCACGATAATAGATTATCGCAATGAAATTGGATTGTAATAATGGGGCGATGACAACACGTGTACACATTAGCGTTAAACGATGACACACGTGCACGTAAAATACATTTCTAAATCGAAATATGCGTATTATGTACGAATATTTTCTTTTCCTCTAATTGATGTTTTCTGATAACACGGGAAATATAAATGATATAAATATTATCGCTTTGTAGAAGAAAGTAAATAATTTCTTCAATACGACATTCCTTTTGATAAATAAGATATCATCGACATTGAGAAAGAAGAAAGAAGTTGGAAAAGAAAACATAGCGATCCTTGTGTTGATTAGAAATATTCCATTAAAGATTATTCGCGTTACAGTTGCGGATCGAAAAACATTTTTAATAAAATACGGAATAATATATCGTGGACACGGAAAGTCGTGTATGTAAAATATCTTGACAAATATTTTTGCATTGCATTATTTTATTTGTAATTATAATATGTTGGAACTTTCAAGGCGCATTCCGCATTTTTCGTCACAAATATCTGGAATCGTTTGATCGATCAATCGAGACAAAATACATTACCTTGTCCCGATTCGTCAATCAATTATATTTCAAAACTTTTCTAACGTCAAACGGAGTGCATCCTCAGTGAAAGTGACGTGTGTTCTCTGTTCTGGAAGGAAAAAAAAGCGAGAAAGAAGATGTGTAACAGTCGAGCAATATCCTGTATAGAATAGAACGCAAATTTCGCCGTGTATAAATATAAATACTATACTTGAGCTACACGTCAAATATGCATATATTATCGCTCGTGGCATTCGAGATAAAATAAAATACGTCCGTATAAAAAAAAATTAACATTTTTATACTCGTAATATACATATATACAATAGAAGGACAAGCAGGGATCATTTTCCCGCGCATATTTATTAATCTACATTAATCGCAAAATTTCCATATATTATAATCGATTAAACAAACAAACAAACAATTAAATAAATAAATGTAGAAAAATCCAGGAAAGAGCGCGAATTAATCACGACGCTAAAGAGAGAGAGAGAGAGAGAAACAAACAATAACGCTTCTAATAACGAGACGGACACGCAGAGAGTACGTGTCCGTTTTCGGACAGGGATCAGAGCTGCGGAACGGAAATCGCTTTCTCTCCGCCCGTGCAACGTCCTGCGGTCGCACGTCGTCGTCGTCGACGACGATAGAGGAGCGACGACAATCGCGCGAGAAGCATCGGACGTAACAACGGGTTCCGAGTAGTCTCGTCTCGTCTGGTCACCGCGAGGACAAGATGGCGGACGCGCGCAGGCACGAAGCTAGCGCGTCCTTCACCCTCGACTACGCGAGTCGCGGATCGTCATTACGTACATGCAATATGCAATATGAATATATGCATGCACTTTTATCCTCTACGCGTTTCCGCGTAATACGTCTCGACGAAAGGCGAGTTCCTGGTATCGCAAGTCGAATAATCGGAGTAATCGAGATATCGATATATAGTACAGTTCCTCGTTTTCGTCTGTATATAATATGTATAGTTTTGTGTGCGCTTGTTTTAGCAAACCAGGTGTTTGAGTATTTATATGTATGTATAATAAATAATAAGATGCAATTTAATTCGATCAAAAATTTGTGAAAATTTTATATATATATATATATATATATATATATATATATATATGACGATAATTTAAAATAAAAGTGCCTTTAAAGCGCTTTCGCAATTCGATGAATATTTGATGGGAATATTTTGTCCCACTGGCCTTTTAGAAAATATACACAATCATATACTATAAAATAAAATTTGTAAATTTATACGAAACACGATTACAAAACGCGTGGTTGAGTTAAGGACGCAAGAATTTGACAGTTCGAGGCGCGATTGACACTCTCACGGGACGGTCGATTCGAAAACATGAATTTCGAAAGTAGAAAATTTCGGAGCAATTTAGGAGAGGCGTTCCATCTTTGAACGGAAAATGCTTATCCATGCGCACGCCTCATTAATTCTTACGCGCTATCAGACTGGCACGTTTGTTTGATCGTTACTTCCTTGATTAGAGGGAACGTCACGGAGTTAAGTACTTTTATTTTCGTAATAATCCGATTGTCCGTCTTTATTCTCTCGGATAGAAAGTAGCGATGCCCCGGGTAATTGGCCGCCCCTAAACCGGCCCTGAAGCAAGAAAGAGAGAGGTGCGGAAAGCGCTCAACAAAGATGGCGGATGGGATTTGACTCGACTCGGTAGTAGTGGTAGTGACGCAGGAGTAGGAGCGGAGCGAGAGAGAGACGCAGAAGGAATACGATGATTCAGCGGGAGACGGGAACGAAAGGGGGAGGCGCGGCTCGGGGGTTCGGGTTAGCTCGTTCGACCCGTTATCCCCTCCCTCCGTCTCGAGTCCTTTCCACCCCTGTCCTTGCTTCGATTCGAAAGAGTCTCTACCCCCACTCCTTCGCTCACGCGCAGCCTCGCCGCGTCATCCCCACCCCAGCGCCGCGCCGCGGCCTGGCGGGCGACGATCGCGATTACGAGCCACTCTACGTAGACTCGTTCCGCTCCCCTACTTCGCTCTCCCACCAGACGGCGGGACGGTGGTGCGTAGTCAGCGAGCCTCGCTACTCTCCCGCCACGGTGACGTCACTCTGAATAGTGTAGTGCAGTGAGAAGGAGCCAAAACCCAGCTCCGTCTGCGTTACATAGCCCCTCCGAGAGTGTAACCGAAGCGAAGTGCGTGAGTTTTCGATATATCGTCGAGTCGAGGAATTTCCGCGCGAGTATATCGACGTGCCCGGCCGAACGTCGTCGTCTCGGGAATTTTACGCCGCGGTGACTCGCGGCCAACTTCGCCTTACATTCGCGCGCGTCTCGGTGTACCTACGAGGAATCGAACGAGTATCTTCGACATGTAAGTGAGCTATATATATATACAGAGAGAATACCAATATATATACGTGTGTACTCTACACCCAGCCTCTCTCTGTCCGCGTGCGAATCGACGACTCGAGGGAGGATAGTGTGTTGTGAAAAAAAAAAAAAAAGGAGAAAGTAAATCGTCTCCAAGTGAATACGTTATACTCGGATATCGCACGTGTGTATCGTGCGTGTGTCGTGTAGATGCACGCACGTACGTTGAAGTAGTGCCGCCATTTCGGAAGGTTGTTTCGCGTTAAAAAAAAAGAGAGAAGGAGAGAAGGAAACGACGTTCGCGAAATTGATTCGCGTTATCAACAGTGGGTCACGTACACACACACACACACGCACGCACACACACACACAAAACACACATACACAGAAGGAGAGAATTTTCGTCTCTCCCCGCGCGCGCTCGCTCGCGCGAGTGTTTTCGCTCTGGGTGCCGTGCCGTATCGTCTCGCCGTGACGTGACGTGACGTGACGTGTCGTGCCGTGTTGTGCCGCGTTATGCCGCTCCACGCGCGAGGCTAGAGCGAGGCGCGCGTGTTTCTCCACGTCGTCGGCGACACGAACGCGTGTGCGTCGCGCTAAGGGAATTATGCTACGCCGGGACGCCGAGGAGGAGGTCTCTCCCGGGCGCCCGACGAGTGGCCGGGAAGTAGTGCGTCGTCGCCTCTCCTTCGCGGGTGTGACGTGTGATTGAATGAAGGGAAAGAAAGGCGCGCGCGCGCGCTCCAGAGAGAATAATCCCCATCACGCGATCCAGTGATATACGATGTGGTGTTCTTCGGCGACGATACCGATCCTCGTAATCGTCGTAAGCGGTGTCTGCTATCAGGGCTCCTCTTCTTCTTCTTCTTCTTCCTTCTCCTCCTCCTTTTCCTCCTCCTCCTCCTCCTCTTCTTCCACCTTTCCCACGTCGGCGTCGGAGCGCGTCGCGGCGCAAGGTTTCGATCGCGAGAGCCACGTCGTCGCCGTCGCCGTCGTCGTCGCCGTCGCCGCTGTCGTCGTCGTCGTCGTCGTCGGCGCCGTGTCTACGCAGCACGCACGTGCGAGCGCTCCTTTGACGTGCCGCGTCCTCGACGACAGTATCCGTCGCGGCTGCTGCTGGCCTCGTCTCTTCGCCGGCTAGTGACTAGTGCTTGTGACCGTTCCGTTTTTTTTTTCTGTTTCGCCTGCAGTGAGAGAGAGAGAGAGGGAGTGAGAGAGAGAGGAGGAAAAGTGCGGGACGCGTACGATATATATATATTTGTCTCTCCGTCTCCGGTGGTGTGATATCGAGTGACAAGCAGACCGGGGAGGCGGAATTTTGTCAATTCCCGAACGAGAAAAGGAAAAGCTTTAATCGACCGAGAAAAAGAAATTTCGCGTGTTTTGTGTGCCCTTTTTGTGAAGTGTGCAGTGAGAATTTATCGTTTACCGGTCGAGGTTGTGTGTCGTTGTACAGTGCCTCCAAACGATACCACAACATCCGATCCCAAATGAAGAGTTCGGAGCAAAATGGTTAGAGAGACACGTTACCTGTGGGTTGGAAATCTGCCGGAAAACATCCGAGAGGATCGCATCAGGGAGCATTTCAAACGGTGAGTTTACATGTTGTCAACATTTCTTTCTTCTTTTGCCTTTTTTTTTTTTTTTTCAGTATAACGGGTGTGCGTTTTGTATGTAGCGTTTGCGACGTCCCTTAAACCCTTCGCGATCAATGCGACCTGTATGTTCCAGCTTTAAGTCCGCGTTTCGCAGATCTAGTTTTCTTGTATAATATCGATGCGATCGTATTTTATTTAAATTCGAAACATTGCAAAGGCTCGAGGCTTTCAATATGAATATATTAGAATAGCAAGCAATTAATATTAATATATAATACAAATATTACAGTACAAAATCAAACTTGAGGATAGAATTCGTTCCTTCATATCCCTAGAATCTATATATTTCGATGCAAAATAATATTTCGTGACATTAAAAAAAATCATTATGCTACATATACACATGATTGAGCACAGTTGAAAAATTTGTTAATTCTTGTGTTAATTTAACATAATATACATATGTTAAACGAAGAAATACTGTGTTAATATTTTAACACAAAATAAATGTAAAACTTCGAGTAATTTACAATAAATTTTGTGTCAAATTAACAGTTTTAATATAAAAATAAACTAAAAATATGTTAATTTTAGATTTTATCAGTCCTACTTATAAAATAAAAAATCAACATTTTTTTCTGTAAATTTGAACATATAATTTTGTCACTAATAAAACATATATTGTGTAAAATTAAAAACAGATGCACAGTGTTATTTTTACACATTTTTTCAGTTCTTTTAATAATGTAACATTCAAGTTAAATTAACATATGTTAAGTAGGTATGTTAAATATTTAATGCAAAAATTTTAACGGGGACCGTTTTTAACAAAAAGACAAATTTTCCTACTGTGCGTAGTTTTATTGTATTGTATCATATCGATACAATCGTATTAATTCAAACATTGCAAAGGCTCTATAGGCTTCTAGTATGAATATATTATAATAGAAAGCAATTATTATAATACACAATATAATAGAAAGCAAATATTATCATACATTGCGAAATAGAACTTGAAGGATAGAATTCTTTTCTTCACATTCCTAGAATCTAATATTTTGATAGAAAATCATATTTTATGATATTTAAAAAAAAACCATTATGCAATACATACGATCGAAATTACATTTCGATTTTTAAAACAAATTTTTAGTACGATAAATGGTTCTAAACGTTGTCTAAAAATAGAACGGCACGTCAAGTTTCTTTGTAGCGTTTAAAATATTTTAACATTTTGATAGTTCGCGATAATAGACTATAAATTATTTTGCTACGAAGCAGCTCTACTTTTCTAAAATTGAACTGTGCTATTCTTATGCTATTGTATTCTTGTTTATTTAGAAAGCAATAAACAAAAATTATTCGAAATGAAAGTTTTTCTATTTTTATAGTGACCGAAAATTCTATATCAAATCAGCTGTATAGATTTTCCGCTGTATAGATTATCGAAAGAATTTCGAGGGACTTTTAAATAGGTACAAAATAGACTATTAGACCTTAGAGATTATACAAAAAAAAGGACGACCTTGGGAACATTACATTTGTCATGCGTAAACCTATTCATCTAACCGAAGATAAAAACTTTGAAAAGAAAAGCGGAAAATCCTGAAAACCAAAAAGAAGAAAAGATACCTAATCATAACAGAGCGATCGTGTTTCTTCAATCATCGTTCTTTGACACTATTGTAAGCGGCAACTAGAGATATCCTGAAATTGTACTTTAAAAGATCGATAAGGCAGGAAGGTTTTATCGATTCTTCGAAAGATTCCTCGGATATAGTTATCCGAAATCAGCGATTAGGCAGGGGCGCTGCCGAATTAGAATGACTTGCGAAAAATTGATAGGAGAGCAGGTAAAGGTTCGCAGAGCGATAAGGGACACAGTCGTAGTCTGAGAGTCGAGTGAGAGCAAGCGTTACGAGAAGAGAGGAAAATTAAGATCGCGAGACGAATGAGCGGGCTCCGATCGAGATTATTAGTAAGAGATTTTGTTAAAGCGTATAGGGAGTTTATAATTGCGCTTACGAATATTTTTATTTCTTTATTAATTTTGTATTGATCTTGTTGGAGTACTAGAGTCAGTGCAATAAACTTTTTTTTTGTTCTTTTCTTTATTAAATAAAAAGAATCTGTTTTTTTTACCATATATTATTATCCCTGCAAGCCTACACTATTGTTCCATAACTTTGAGAATTTTCGGGAATGTTTCTCGCAAAAAAATCATCTCTTTTTTTTTTGATCGAATTTTCGTCGCGCGCATTCACGGATATTTATACATACATATAAACGTTCGGACGCTACATAACACGTTATATTACATACGTTACATTATATATGTACATGTATACATAAAATGTCGCGGGAGAAAAAGGGAAAAGTTGCACGGTCGTCGCATTATTTACTGGCTTGTTTTTGTTTTCGCGCAGACCCGCGACGTTATCGCTTCGATAAAGCCGAGTTTCAGGAAACACGTAAGGTGTCCCGATGTTTTCGGTACGGTCCATAGTGAGTGAGGATACGAGAAAGAAGGAGGAAGAGAGAAACGTCGGCTACACGTAGATAGGTATACACATATATATATATATGTGTGTGCGTGTACGCGCACTCGTACAGAATCGCGTGCACACGAAGATACGAGGGCCTTGGCTCTGTCTCTCTTCTCTTCGCGTAGCGTGAGCGCGTCGTCATTTGTTTTTTCTCCGAAGTAATAATAGCTGAGGACAGCCATTTTGAGAGCTCGCAGCAGCACCGAGTTATTGTTCGACAGTGACGCTCAAACGTCGGCTCCGCGATCGCGTCTCGTCGGGCTCTTCTGCGGATATTTCATCTTGAGAAAGCAGATCGATCCATATAATTCATTGACCGAATTTTTATATTTATCCACGTTCGATAGGTGGACGCGAATTTTTGTGTATCGCGTGGCGAAGAGTTCGGAGAGAAAGCGAGAGAGAGAGAGAATTCACGTGTTTAATGGTTTAATGATAACTGTAAAAATTGGAAGACAAAAGCGAACGGGATATAGAATGAATTAAATATATGTTTTGTAAACTAAAAAGTTCAGATGTATAGTCTAGGAGATCGATGACATTACTTGGCTCTCGCGCTCGTTGTCGGAATCATTGTCCTCCAGTGACACTCAAATCGGGGATACGGAACACAAACTACAAATGTACATACATAATTTAATACTTCAATTTTAATAGTTTCTTACGTGTTATCGGCATCTTTACAAATTTATTAACTGAATTGCGAAAACGTTTCAGGGGTTATCTATTGAATTGCCTTTTTAATGCGATCTCGCAAATCTAGCAAATTACTTGTTTAATGTTTATAGTTGTGATATAAAATTGAACGACGTCAAAACGACGTCAGTTTTATATTTATCTTATTTATCTGAACAAAATACGCACTGCTATATCCTATATATAAATGAAAACAAATTTTAAATATACAATATATAACTAATTTTTTATATAATTTTAATTCATTCTTTTTTTTTACTTTTAATTATATCCTATAATAATGTTAGATTTAAAAATAGAATATTTTTCGAACAAATCCTGATATTCAAAGTTTGATTCCAAGATTCTAAAATTATTTATTCCTGTAAGATATAAAAACAATCCAAATTCGTTATCGGCTAGTATGAAATAACGATGAGGAGGAGAAAAAAAATTTGACACGAATAAAATATTAATGCAACTATTTAGTTACATTGCAATTATATGACACATATTTAATATGGAATATTATTTTTAACAAACAATACGCATATATACAATATAAATGCAAATTAAAATAAACTTTATATAATCAGATAAATTCCACAACTGGGGTAATCAATGATTCGCGGTGTATTCTTCACGCGTCATCATAGATTTTAATACAATTTTCCATTTTATATGCTATTTTTATGCTTAAAACGTGGATGCAATTTTCTCGAAAATATTGATGTATGAACATTCCTTATTTCTCTCGCTCTCTTCTTACATTCACATTTGCGTGGACCACGCGAGAGCACATATGTGGAACGAGAAAGCTCGCTTATAAAATACATATCCATTTCCCTTGACCCTCCGTGCGTAGGATGACAATGATCGTCCGAGAAATTGGTAGTGGAGGTTCGGGCGAGGTTGCCCGCGAATTTTCCTCGATGTTTTCAGTACGGACACTAAGCCCCGCGATCGTCCCGACTATAAATTTCTCCCCTCGAAACACGCGGCGGTAAACGCTCGCATCGCCAGCGGCGCTACACGCTTCGTGTGCCAGCTGGCGAATGCTCTTCGCTGGTGCAGTGGCGTAGCGCCGACACACATTGTCGATTCGAAACACACAAAACTTTTCAACGTACCTATATTCGACCCGCCGAAAAATACATCCGACCCGATCGATCGAATTTTCATCGACATATAGTTATCTTCCGTACTTATATATAACATCTCTAATCCGTCATTTTCGTCAAACAAGTCGCGAACTTTCGTTTCTCCTTAAAACGCGCCGCGCTGTCGTGCTGCTGACCTCAGTTAATATATCGGCGAGACGATATATATACACGAAGGCGAAAGACGATATCTCCTTATCTTTCTTTAAAATTATCGCTATCAAAGGGGGGGGTAGAAGAAGAGGGGAATGCTGACCTCGAATCCTTCTCCGGTCGCTTCTCCCGTCGTCGAGTCGCACCGCGCGACTTCGGCCTGACTTCATGAATGAAACCGAGCGTTTGTTTCTATTACGCGCACATATTTGCAAACGGCTACTCGCAGCGGCGTGTCGCCACGTTGTTTATATTGAAGATCGCTGGAAGAACGTTTGGTCGAAGACCAAGCGAGAGAGGTGTATATACGATACGAGAGATTATTGACGCGGCCGGACTATTGACTCTTTGCACTCGGTTCTCGCGCGCTTCGTTAAAATTGTATAGACGGTCCACGTCAGACTTTAAATTAACTTCCGGGAACAATCGTATATAAATGAATTATGGAATATATTACGTT